ATTGCCCAATTAGAAGTTCGTGTCTTTTAAGAGGCCTTCCTAGTTCCCAAGTTATTAGTTCGTTATATGGGCGATAACTTTGCTACTTGGCAACACTGCAAAATAGTTTAGGTGAATCCCTTGAGCTAATAAATATAATAGATGCCAATACTAGGTTTACTATGGAGTTAAAAAAGGAAAATAAATTGCATTTTTGAATTGTTTTTGGATTTTTGGCATTATTGAGCAAATAAGGTAATAAGTTAGGTAGAGACGTGTACCAGAAAGACACACACGAGGTTTTCCTTATTAGTTTCTTCTCCAATCATAAATATAGAGTCAAAATAGGAGTTATGAAACCAATGATAATAAGTAGTCTGTGTCTAGTAGACGTAAACCACAGGGACCAGGAGATCGGTAGATTGTGGCATATATTGTTTCAGAACAATTACTCATTACAATCAGTTGACAATTACATTTAAATTGCCAGTTGGAAGATGAGGGGAATTTGCTCTGTGGGATGTGAAAGACAATTGGTCCATTCTACACATTTCCTGATTCTGCCTTCGTGACAACTTGCGGAAAGGTTGGGTGATCTACTAGGGAAATAAAACATCAGAACAATGTATAACGAGAATAAAAAGCTTTCTTAAATAGTTCTTTCGGACCGACTATTTAGATCAGGTTGCTACGTTTTGTGCTTATGTGGTAAGGTATGTGGGGAGGAGGCCTGCCGATGTATCCAGAAGAGACTATGCGAACACAAAACCGCTTGTAAAGGTATACGGGCCAAATAATCTGAGCTGGATAAAACAAGACACTCAATAGACTAGCAAAAACACATTTTGAGGACTACAAAGACTTCACATCAGAGCGTAAAATTAGCAAATGTAGAAACTTAGTAGGAACTATTTGTGGCCGTTGAATAGGCTTAAGGGGAGGAAGAGAGATGGAGACTAGGAAGAGCAGGAAGAGTCAATGAATCGGAGGAGGCTGGATTAACCTCGAGCCTAGTTATGACTATCGCACCTCTTATGAATTGAACATTATGTACACACTATTGACAAAACCAAACACCCAAACATGAATCAACTTTAGAAGATA